CTCCAGTGAATTTCCACTTCTCTGGGTTTCTCTCCTTTTCGTCTTGTAGTCTGTGCAGCCTGCAGCTGCTACAGAGAGAGGAGCTGGCTCTTACCTAATCCACTGAGACGGAATCTTTTTGTAGAGCCCACTGTGCTAATGTAAGTAACTACTGTTAAACCTAACTAATCAATAATACCTGTGAATAGGCATGTACCTATAAAATGTTTGTACTTTATATATCTACTCATTCCTACCCTTCACATCTTGTACTTCTGAAGATCTGATCCTGCAAATGATCAAACAAAAGAATAATTTACTCTATGATCAACCATGACAGCATCCATGGGACTACTTAAATACCTCCCCACAAAGGATTATGGCTGGAGTGCATGTTAAGTAACCGTGTGTAAGTAACACAAAGAAATATATATATTACATACTTACCTCCTGATACAGCTTTTATTGTGCACTAGGAACTGAAGAGGGAATTTTATAGAGACATACTCATTCTATCAAGAGACTGACATTTCTCAGATGATCCCCAAAGTACAAAATATGAACATCTGAATTAGCCAGCAGTTCAGAAATACTGATTTTAAATTGGCTTAGATAGGCTTCAACCTCAAATATATTAACTGTAATCTGTCTACAATAGACTAATAATATCTCTAAGTGCTTTTTTTTTTTTTGTCTGTGTACATGGCAGGGAATATACTAAATGTCTTCCTTGTTTTCTCCCCCTCCTTTCCTAATCTGTAGCCAAAATCACAAACCATTAAATGAACTGTGACAGAGAAGGTAGTTGGAACTTCATGGCTGACGATTTACACCGTGCATGTTTGGTATCTGCAGGTGTTGTACTATCACTGAAGATGTGATTTTGGTGTTAGCTTTCTTGGGTTTATTATCTTTTAAGATTAAGTACTGTAAACAATGTATAAGCAAAAACATTAACTACAGGGTGCTGAGAAACATCTCTAGCACACAGAGAAAATAACTGCCTTCAAATTAGAAAAAAAACACCTCTCCGGCATGAAACTGTGACTACTGCTTGTGGAATTTTATGAAATGTTTTGCTATCTGTCCCTTTTGCAACCACAGGAAGATAGGACACTTTCTAACGTGTCTTAACAGCAATACCTTTTTAATGAATGTATTCAATAATTACACTACTGTACACGCTGTAATTTGCTAAATGCTTTTCAACTGTACGAAGACACATTTCTTTTCAAAAACAAATAAAACATTGGGACTCAGCTGCTAATTTGTGGACTAGAAGATGTATTATTCTGACCTGTCAGATTAAGTTTTTTAAACTGCTTGTACCGCATCCATCTTTCTGTGGCTCAGAGTTCAGCTATTCAGCTTACTTTTTTTTTTTCACAGAAAATGGATTTGCTTTCTGTGTCACAGCATTTTATCTTTTTAGCATTACCACACCATATTTTAAAAAAAAAAGCTTTATGTAATACTCTATTTGCATGTTTAATGTTTTGTTTATTTTAAAAACCAAGAGCTGAGCATGCACATTACTGAGGCAGAAAGGATAGTAATGAACAACATGCCTTTATTTGTCAGCTGAAATAATGTGTGCATTCAACCAAATTTTTCCTTTTAAATTAGAAATTAGAAAGTTAAATGTATATGATAAATTCACTGTAACAAGAAGAGAGGAGGTGTCTTCAGTGCACTGATCTCCATTTTGAACACCCTAAATATTCACATAAGACTTCTTAAATTGCCTGAATTAGTTGGATACCTAAACCTTGATGAAATTTTTGTGGGACCTGAGTGTCTAGATCTAGGGCGATACTTTGAAACTCAGGATTTCAGTACTAATTTACTTTCCAACTAGAACCTTGAGCTAGGCAGGTGACAGAGAGCAATTGATGTAGATACATATTTTAAAAAAATCAGCAGTGACCTCGAAAACTAATGAATTTCATAATGATCTTAGGTCATACATGTAGTATTGATTTTTTACCTAGCACAGTAATTCATGCCAAATCATATGTCTTTAATAATATTTCAGTATTAATTTCATAGTGTGTATTATTGTATAATGTTAAAACTTTCCTTGGTACTATGAAGACAGAGACAAGAATTTTTATTAGGTTGCCTGCGGTTGGATTCACAAGTCATGTGACCCACACAAAGTCTGATTTTCAAAATTTAAAGGAGATATTCCATTAGCCCCACAGACTTTGTATCAGACTCTTAAAAGCATATGACTGCCTACAAATGCATTTTTGCAGAATCCTGCCCCACAGGATCTTCTCAATATCTGAAAAAACAAGAATGCTTCTTCCTCTCAAGAACACTAGACCTTCAAGGTCTGTAACAAATAAGAAAGTACTAGGTGATACTGAGAAACCTACTATTCTAGATACATATACTGAGGCATTAGAAAATTAACCATGTCATGATGAGATAACCTGTACATCTAATGGTCACACAAACTGCCTTCCTATTGAGAAGGGAGTTTTCTGACAGAAAGCATACACAGTCACTGACAACGTGCCCAACAACTTATTCCCATCAAACATTTAAATATTGCAAGCATTGTCCTCTTCCAGACAGCCAAGCCCGTGTCCAGGGGATCATGCAGTGAAGACAGTGGAGCTGGCAACTGATCAGGCTTTTAAGTGAATAATGCCTCCAGCTCTGCAGTCCACGATGGACTGAATGTTCCTCCTTGGTGTATTGCATTACAGTGGAAAAAAAAATGAAAAAAAATTGATAGAGGAAGGAAAAGGGAAAAGGGAAAAGGGAAAAGGGAAATCCTACTTGTTGGCCCAAATGACAGTTTTTATTTTGGATGTGCTCAACAAAAAGCCAAGAGAAGCTATTCAAAGATTTTGACATCAGGCCACTTCTCCTCCACTAGGTATGCCCATTCTGCTCTTGTGTACAAAGGAATCACTTGGGTTTTCACTATGAAACTAGTAATAGAACTGAATGCTACAGATTATTTACAAGAGCATACAAAAAGGACAAAAAAACCCCAAACCAAAACAACAGCAACAAAAAACCCCAAGCAAACAAAGAAAAAAAAACACAAAAACAAACAAACAAAAAAATCAAACACAAACAAACAAAAAAGCAAGCAAAAACCACAACAAAAAAAACCCACCAAAACAGGAAAGAGCTTTCAGAAGCTTGCCAGATAATGTTCAGAGACTAACCTAATTATGTGGGATTTTTTACAGCAGCTTTGGACATAATAATTTCTGTGATTTTGTTAAAGATTCAGCAAAAAGAAGAATTGAAGCATCCATTTCATTGTAATCTCTGACAGGATTTTCTCAAAGAACATATTTCTCTTGCCAACTTTATTTGGTAACCAAATGTAAGTGAAATCAAATGCCCTTCTTGCAGGTCGTGAAAATATAGACTGATTCAGGCAAATACTAGTCTCAAGCTTATTTTTTAAGACAAGCTTTGGACCTACAGTCTTAGGTCTCGTATCATCCGAGGCACATTAGATATATTTTCATAGAACTTTGTTTCTTGATTAAGAAGATATATTTAACTGCATCCTGCTCCAGCAGCATTCAGGGCAGACCAAAATCCTCTATCCAAGTGGGCTTCCCAAGTATGCTCTTGCTTCAGTCCCATCATTTTTTCCCCAAGCTGCCCTCAAGATCCTGCAGCATGGTCCTGGCTTTGCTCGTGCAGACAACTGGTGGAGGGCAGAAGATGCCTGACAAGTGCACAGTCCTCAAACCCCATTTTTTTCCCCAAAATGATAGTTTTTTTAAATACTGTTGTTCCCACCTGTGTAATCATTTCTATTCTGCATTTTTAAAGTAGGCATGTAAAACTGCGAAGATTTTGTATGCAGGATTAAATATCCACTACCTTTAATTATTGCACAATTAAAATAATAATGGTAGGCTTTTTTTGACTAATCAAATAAAAATGAACAATTAATTGAACATTTCATGAATGTTTCATATCAATCAGAAACTAAAATACTCTTGAATTTTTATTGCAATATTTGTTTGTGTTACTGAACACTCTTTAAGGCATCAGTGAATGTGACAAACCCCTTAATTTACAGCATGTTTGCCCTCACTAGGACTGGAGGATGCACAGCAAAACAGAAAATGTTCTTTGGGATGTCTTAATAAAAATACATGCAAATATTTGGGAAAACAAGACCAGCAGCATGTAACAGCAGAAAACTTCTAAAAGATGTCTAAATTGTTGCTGGCAGGTTTTTCCCCTAGTTAAATAGACAGGTGAAAATTTCCCTTTAGGAAAGTGCATGCAGAGCATGCGGTGTTTTTGGAGGAAGATTATGGTATGGGCTGGTTTCCAAAAAAACTGTGGCTATAAAACATAATTACATGACAAGTACATGAATAACAAAAGTAAAAATCCTTAAAAATAATGAGATTGATTTGATAATTGTATGAATGCAAGAAAAATGTTGAAACGTTGTCCTTTTAATTTGCTGACAACTGAGGACGCAGCTTTATGGACAACTTTCCGACAGCACCTTGATCTAAGCAGTGACCACTCTGAGGTTACTTAATAATTTGCTAAATTATATTTCAGACGGACTAACCCTCCAACTCAGCTCACCATGAGCGACAGTAAACACATACATATGTTCATACATGGAAATTACATGGGAGAGAAAGTTAATAAAGGTGAAAGGACAGCTTTTCTTCACATATAAAGTACAGATTTCCTTTTTATTTATTTTATTAGGGATGCTCAGATTCTTGTGCAGTCCTATGATCTTTAGTGCTGGAGAGCAAAAAGCAGCAAAGGATCAAAACTTGCAGTAACATCATGAGCAGGGGTGGCAGTGAAGTGTTCAGTCTGCTCAGCTAACAATCTCTCAGAAAAATGAAATTTAATTCCTAGAAAGTCATGCCTGTAAATTTAACCATATTGTAACCTGCCGTATGGTTCTGACAATCAGTTTGAAGTACAAAGTCATAGACAAGAGCTCCATTTGTCACATCTTCTCCAGCAGATATGTGAGTAAGAAAAAGAGAACTCACCATTATTCACCAGGACATGGAGTGGACAACTCTTTGCTCTAAACCGCTGCACAAACTGCCGTATAGACTTCATGGAAGCCAAATCACAGTATAAAAACTCCACTGGGAGAGAAGAGGACATGAACAGAAAGACAGTTAAGTCAGCTACAATGATATAAAATCATACTTACAGACATCAATAAGGACTCCTGAGATAACGTCAACATGAAAGTAAAGATTTTAAAAATAAACAAAGCTTTTGAAAATTATGGATGAAGCTGGACCCAGAAGGTTTCTTCTTTCTCCTTCCTTCCTTCCTTTCTATTTTTAAACTACTGATTCTTCACAGAGCAAATATGAGGAATGCTGATGCCAGAAGGTGAAGAAAGGTACCAAATGAAGCAAATATGTCCCAGTCCTACAATTTTTTCTCTGCTTATCATTTAGGAAGAGGGGCTACAGCTCTTCAGTGTTGAGATGATCAGGACATGAGAGGTAGAACTCAGATGGGGAGACGAGAAGCCACATCGAGTACCACAACATTCCCCTGCATTTCGGATGCCAAATATTCTGCCTTATATTTTTTTTCCAGATTATCTGCTGAGTGTGGTCAAAACAGTGATGGAGTCTGACACCACTTTACAAAACAAAGCTTTCTGGAGTCAGTATGAAAGATGAGCAACAGCATGCCCACATATGGCAGCTCACCCAATCACGAAGAGCAAATGTGGCATTGTAAGTGGTGCCATGGCTCTGGTGGACATCCAGGGACACCTGGTGTACCCATCAACTGGCAGCAGCATCCAGTCATGAAAACACCTTCTGAATGTGGTTAAGAGTTGTGCTGACCCTTGGCTCCAGCAACAGCACTGTGATTTGAGAGGATCATACCTCACGTGGGTGCTATGGATTGTAGCCTGCTAATGTAAATCAAGGGGTAGGGTGGCAGGGAGCAGGAGGTCAGCAGCCTGCCTACTCCAGCAACGTTGATCAAGGGGCAGGGTGTCAGTGTCTCAAAATACATTTAACATGGGTATGTTTTTACTTCAATGAAAAAGTGTCTGCAACAAAACCGTCCTGCTTTGTCCAAAGCATTAGTCAGTTATTGACCTCTACTAGAACACTACAAAATTAATTAATCAAAATTAAAAAGATTACTTAAAACCTCCAATAACTTTAAATGCATCAGGTCTGAAAATTCTCCTCCCATTGCACTTGTCCACTTTTAATCCCCTGACTTTCACAGCACCGCTTCATTGATTGTCTTGTCTTGCATGACAGCCACAATTAGTGTTATGAGGTGAAAACAAGCGGTGCCCCCCTCAAAACAGCAGCTCTATCCCAACTCAAACAATCCAGATTCTTTGGAAACTCTGCAAAGGGGAAAGAGAAAGAAAAGCATGACCTCCTCCATTTATTTTAGTCTTAGAAAGTATACATATTACACGCCAGGATTTTGGTTTGTTTTAGTATTAGTTATGTTTTAAGCATGAAAACATGAATCTCTAGTGCAAATGTTGCTTCTGTCTTCTGGTTTGCTGTGTCAACTCCACTTCAGCCAGACCCAGTACACTCATGTTCTGAGGTTGCCTGAACCTCTTCCATAAAGTGAATTTTCTCAGGAAGACCAAAAGGTCTTTCAACTTGAAAGTCAGACAGTATCGAACAGCCTCCAGTGACTAATTCTAGCAAAAATAAAGCTGAAGTCTGTATAAAACATGCTCCCCTTGCTCATTGCGTCCTTGCAGAATAAGTCCTTACTGTTCAGTTTTATTTCATCAAAGATTTCATCCCAGATTTCCCAAGTTGTGGCAACCTCCACATAGATGCTCAATCCCCAGGATGGTTTTGGCCACCACAGCTGAGGACTAGGGCTCCAGATCCTCACTGTGTTTTCCCTGCTCCCCTCTGCCCTGCCACCTTGCAGCCTAAGGGCTGCTCCCTTGTGCACCACAGGAAGGAACAGCCACCCCCTTGCACATGTCTTCCCCCACTTCTTATGAAAGAAACATCCTTTAAAAGAAGGGAAAATTAAAGATACACAGTTCTCCACACATTCTAAAGACAGACTTTCTGACAGGATCATTAAGCTCTTGAGTAAGCAGGGTCCAACACAGGCTTCAGTAAGAGATCTTTGCTCTTACTCCATCAGTCCATCAGTGATACCAAACTCTTTCATCTTGTTAAAACAGAGGCTGCAAGGTACAGCACCTGTTTATAGTTTGTCTGTACAATAAGAGTTTAGGAGGGCCTGCAGGCACAACAGCAAGATAAGTAGCAGAAGACAATCACATTTATTATTAAAATACAGGAGAAGGAGAATAATTCATTCAGTTCCCTTCAGTTTTACAGTCTGGGGCTTTAATTTTATATATATATATATATGCATATATAT